GCAGAGCTGGAAGGAAGAAGACCCACCTGCCTAGGCCTGCAGCCTCCCTGGAGTTTTCTTGTCACCCCAGACCTTCCAGGCCCTAAGGAATTTACAAAACAAAACAAGAAATAAAAAAAGTGTACCAGTGGGTGCAGGACCTTCTAGGGAGGAGAAGTTCCAAGGAGAGCCTGGGCAGTCTGGGCAGCGGCTGGCGGGGATTCAGTCAGATTTCTTGGGGCTTTACTCCTTATGGGCCAGATACCTGCCAAGGCCTAGGCTGCAAAATGAAAGAGCTGTAAGAAAGGGGCAGTGAACGGCTGTTGAGAAGGGCAAGCACGGGAAGGTACCCTCTAGACCTGACCTGTTGCTAAACCAGAGAGCCTCAAGTCCAGGGAGACAAGCATAGGCCAGGGAATCCCCGGACTGGCACGTGCATTCATCTGTTCCATCATCAGATACTCAGTTGTGTGTTGGGGGGGGGCACATGCCTTTGAGAAAGTATGGCAGCCTCCAGTGACACAGTGGTATCTATATTTGAAGACTGAAGTAAACATTTGGGGAAACAGGTCATCAAATTCAGTTATGATGTTTTAGAGCTAATCGAAGGTCTCCCCTTGGTGCAGGAGAATTGTCTGTATTCTGTCAGTCATGTTTTAAATAAACGCTGATTGGCCAGGCAGGAGGTACAGGTGGGAAAACCAGACAGGAAGTGGAAATGATGCAAGGAGAGCAGGAGAATTCTGGGGAGGAGGAAGTTGATTCCTCCCACTCCTGCCCAGGCCACCGAAGCAGCAGGATGTGAGCTGCCCCACTGAAAAAGGTACTGAGCCACATGGCTAAAATAGATCAGAATAATGGGTTAATCAAGATGTGAGAGTTAGCCAGTAAGAAGCCTGACCTAATGGGCCAATCAACTTTATAACTTAAAGAGATCTGTGTGTGATTTTTCTCTGGGACTAAATAGCTGGGGGGCCGGATGGGACAGAAAACCCCCAACAAACAGCCCCTCATGTTACATCACCTGACCTCCCAGTGTCTACCCACCCCAAAAGTTGTCAGTCATTAGATGATCTGGCCCCTTCTCGCAGCATTGTCTCTTCAGGACATGGCACGTGGCATTTGACACAAGAATGGCCAGTCAGTTGCCAGAGGGTTCCTGGTGCCAGGCTGGAGGAGCGGCAGTAGGTACCGGACAGGAGTGATCAAGGAGAAATCACTCAAGGCCTTACTTTCTCGTGGGCGAGCCCAGGGCTGGCCTGAGCCTCCTGGTTCTGCTGGCACTTGGTTCAGGGTACGTGCCGCAAACACCCCTCCACCTCTGTCCACTGGGAAAACACGGGACACCCAAGTTGAAAGGAATGCTGAATGACACCATGTGGGTGTGCAGTGGTCTGTGACCGGAAGGTCCGCTGGAAGCAATTTGCAAAGGGGGTCCTTGGAAAACCACCTGGATGGTTATTGCAAATTAAAAAAGGAAGAGATGCCACATTTGGGGGAATAATTTTTAATACTAGGTTTATGGCTGATTACATGTGATAGTCATTACAGCTTATTTAACTCTGAAATTATCTGGCCTCTCAAGTTCCCCCGAGACTAGAGAAATCATGGGTTAAATTTTAAAAACAATGTCTGGGAGAAGATGACATGCTTTGCCTTGAGGGGAATAGATGAATCTTAAAAGAAGAAAAAGCAAAACAAAGCAGAAATCCGGCCGGCTTTCTCTAGGAAGGGTCCTTATTTCTTACATCGTCGTCTGTGTCTTCCATAATGTCATGGAGCCCAGAACGTCACCGGCACAGAAAGCTTCCTCTCCCTTGGTTGTTGGGCCTTTCAGCTCCTGCAAGTCCTGCTGTGCCTTTTCGAGCAGGATGTTTTGGAAAGAATCCAGAGGGGCTCAAATCTCAGAGGTTTCCTCTTCTTTGGAGCCAATCGTGTCTCAGGAGCTGGGAGGCTGAGTGAGTTACACAGAACAGCTGTGCGGTACCCGCCACCCTCTCCCCAAGGAGGACAGCTCTGCAGAGGACGGTGTTGGACGCCATCCTGAGCGAGCTGGCCAATCTGAGGGCCTAGCCCACTGGCCGGGGCTGCTACAGTGAAGGTCCCCACCAGGATTACAGCCCTGGACCCGCTCCCACCACTGAAAGCAGGCTCTCCATAGAAGCAGCCCGAGCATGGAGGGGCTGGAGCGGGGGCAGAGGGGCAACATGGGTGAGAAATGAGGTCTGGAGGGGAAGTGCCTGTGGGAATTAGGATGGTCTCTCTCCAGCTAGTTGCACATAGGAGGGAAGCCAGGATTCCTTTTCCACAGTGGGAGACGCCGAGCAGTCTTTCTTTGGTTGAAAAGCAGCAGAAAGGAAGGCGATGCTTCAACCAGAAAGTGTGAAGAAGAATAAACACTCAGACCTCTCTGAACTCTGCTATTGGTCTCAACTCAATCCCGCACTGCAAAGAAGCAGTGTTTATCCGTCTGTTTCTCCTGAAGCAGCTCTGCTGGGGCTTGTGAGCCCTGGGACAGTGGAACCCTGGTGTGTCATCCCTGACCCGGCATTGTTGGTATCTCTGGGTCCTTGCAGTTTGTGTGAGTTCTGGAAACGCCGAACTCCTGGATATGTGACTCCGACCTGAGGTTCACTTGCCTGCTCTAGACTTCTTGGGCCTGCCTCCTCCTCAAAAGAACAGCGGTGCCTGTGAACCTCAGCAGAGGTCTTTTTCAGGTTTTGGCCAAAGCTGTCATCTTTGCAACTTTCCAGGGAAAGCCCAGGGAGGGTCTCTGGGCGAAATGTTGCTGCCTGCTGCACTCCAACGCAGATGAGGCCCATCACCCAACAGCTTAATCTGACCGCTATGATGAGGGATAAAACAATCCTCGGCACCGCATATGAAGCTTATAAGAAGATGTCAGTTTGGAAAACCCCACCTCATAGACCATTTCGATATGCCTAAAATAATAACACCAAAACATTAAGTATGAGAACTAAGACAAGGAAGGATATTAGTGAATAGGAGGGGGCAAATGGAGAAAATATAGTAAATCTCTTCTAAAAAGGCGGAAGTCATTTATACAAAATTTTGCCAAGCTGACTTGGAATTATAGCTGGTAGGAGCTGTTGAAAATTTTGTGTTATTTATTCCCTGCAGTAGTAGAAAAAATCAATGGCTGCTTGGCCAGTGAGCCAATGTGAGTTATCTAGGGCACTGACATGGTGGGCCACGCTGTAACAGCCACATTTGCTGCTGTCAGGGCACGGGCTTCGGTGGCGCCAGCTGTAATTCTGGCTGATCACCTCTAATTCAGAGCTGCCTGCCTTGATAAAGGTGTCATGGAGAGCCACTGCGGCCTCAGCATCGATTGAGGAGGTCGCGACAGGGGGCAGCTTGCCAGGGACAGCTCCTCAGGCCCCAGTCCTGAGGTCACGGGAGTGTGGAGCAAATCCTGAGTGGAGAGATAGTCCCTGGAGTTGAGTTAAATTCCAGCAGATCCAGATGAGCTGGTCTGGACCCCTAACAGCGGGTATCTTTAATAAGCTAAGTGATTTCCCCAGAACTAAAGGTCCCTCCCTGCTTTGTGTTATGTGAAGAGACATGTTTTTATCACGTACCCTATTTCCTCGGGGCACAATGATGAGGACACTAGATGGTAGTCAAAGCTGTGATCATGTTTGGGAGGGAAATGCAACCTCACGCCTTTCTTCTGCTTTTGTGGTTAAAAAAAAAAAGTTCTAGTGAGTTCCCTTTTTCAAAAATTTACTTTTTTTGTTTTATTTATTTATTTCTTTAATAAGGAGGAGGCACAAAGCTGTGATGGGAAGTAGTAAAAATGGAATCAGAGAGCTGTGCTAACAAAGCTGCCCAGAGTCGGGACTCCTTCAGGTACCCTGTGTGGGGAGCGAGAATTCAACAATTAAACGGGCTTTGCTGTCGTTTGTAAAGATATCGTTTGGTTTCTCGGCAGCTCCCAAGCTGTTTTCGTCCCCCTGTAATTAAAAAGTAAAGAGAGAAAGACGTCCATACTGTTTGCTCTACCTGAACACTCTTAAAACACGCAGCTCCACCCCAGCGCTCGTCCCATCCCTGCAGCAAGGTGACGAATGGGAGGCTTGTCTTTTGTTCTGAAGGGGCCGCATCATTTCCCTCTGCTGAGAGCTAACCTCAGAGAGACAAGGTTTCCTCAGCTCGCAGAGGTCCTTTCTCTCAGCACGGTAAAAAGCCCCCGGAGCGGCCCATGGAGGGAGAAATGACTCCGATTTCACAGTCCTTGATGATTCCAGACACAGGCGCGTGTTTGGACCAGAAGTGGTTTTGCCCTTGCTGACAGGGAGGTCAGATATGAGAAGTTGGGGGGCGGGGCGGGGTAACGGGGTGGCATTCTGCAGAAAACCCCATGTAGCTCCAGGAAAACGTGTCCACCACAGTGGAAACCCTGTCACCTGGTTCTGAGCTGAAGCCCTTCACTTGGTAACTGGAGTTGGCTTTTGCTGCTGGGTGCTTCAACCTGTCCCCTCTCTGGTATTCGTGTTCCCATCTCTTCATTGTCGATACCCTAGCTCCGAACTTAGGGTACTTACCAAACCCAGTTTAAAGATTCATTTATTTATTTCCAGCAGCACAATGCCACCCCTAGTCGCAGACCCCGGGGGTCCCTCTGGGAGCTCGGAGGGCCACAGCTGTAGGCCATCCCGGACAGCACTGTTTCCTCCTCTGTTTACTGGTTTCTAAGGGCGATTGCACCACGAAGGCCCTGAGCCTGGAACGGGGCCTGGGGCTGTTTTGGTTACATTGAAGTTTTTGCTTCAGTTCTGCCAGATTTAAATGGTGACTTCACCAGCACTGAGCTAAAAAGGAGAAGGGGGAGGAGGGCGAGCCCAGGAGAAAGAGAGCGAGCAGAGGAGCCTGAGGGAGAGAGCCAGAGCAGGGCGCTAAAGAAGGGCCAGCGCATTACATCATCGCTTGGCCTGGAATCAAATGGGAAGGATGTGAGTCACTCAGGCTAGTTAAGCTTTGGCTCAAATTCTACGCACACTCATTCCACAGCTCTCATGTTCTGCACCTCAGGAGGGAATTCAGCCTCAGTGATGTCCATGAGGTTGGTTTGTAATTTTATTTTCTGTTTCTTGATTTTAGAGCTTTTGGGGCCCCTACTGCTTTCTGTTCTGGAGCCTTCCTTCTTTCTCTCCCCTTTCTCGCCTTCCTACCGCCTTTGTTTCCCTCCTTCTCCCCTCTCCCCAGCCCCTCCGCTCCTCTTCTTGCCTTGAGAGGCATTTCTTTTTACTTTGATCAGAGTTGAGCTTTTTTTTTTTCCCGTCCTAGTATAGAAACCTGAATGAGTTTAGAGGCCAGGCAAGAGGGGGGAAATCAGTCAAGCCAACTGAAGCCACGGGAGCAGAAAAAAAAAAGCCACAAATACAAAAGCAAATCGAGAAAGAGCAAACTCCGGAGAAGTTTCTTTGCTGCTGTGTTGCTCCTAATCGGAGGAGACAGGGAGAGAGTTAAAACGCAGGGACCAATCGCTGGAATGGTGATGTAATGCAAGAACCACAGGGTAGTTAAGTAACGTGAGAGGGGGGTCAGTGTTGCAAAGCATTTACCTGCTCTCAAGGGGTTTTCAGTTTATTATCAATTGCAGTGACTTTAACTGCCTTCAGGCTGCAACCTCTAATTATTCACAGGCACCCCCTTTTTATCTTTTATTATTAAAAGTAAAACTATAGTTTGGTATTTTTAAAACACAGTATTATTACAGCTGTATATTATTTTCCTCCACCAAAATTCATTCTCTCTCTCTCTCTCTCTCTCTCTCTCTCTCTCTCTCTCTCTACCTTGAAACAGTTGTCTTTTCATAAAAAGTCTCAGTAATGGGGTGGTGGTGGTTGGGAGGGCTTTCTGAGTGGAGCGAGTGAAGTGTTAACGATTGGGACACTATTGCATCCGTGGTGCTGAGGACGAAGAGTTTACAGTTGTGGTGTTCTGTCTGTTACGAATGCATGGATGCATTTTAAAAGCAATACCTGATGATGCACAGAAGGAGCAGCGGTCTCCCGCTGTCATCTCAGCTACCATTGGCAGTGAGTGTGTGTTTGCTTCAGCTTTCCGACTCCGGGGTGTTCCACGCGGCGCTGGACAGGATCTAGCGCTGCCTTGAAGACCCTCATCTTCTTAAGTTAATTTTATACACTGGGAGAAGTGGGGGGGGGGTGATTAACAAAAACCTTTGATTGATTTGTTTTAGAAACAAGTTAACAGTAGGGTAATGGATTGACGCTAATACATGGCTAGGAGTAATGATTCGGTTCCCGATGCTCTCCAGCGAGGCAGAGAAATAGAGGTGGCGGCGTTGAAAGTCATCACCACCTTTCCATATCATATGTGGGTTTGGTGTTGTGTGCGCTGTAAAAGCCCCTAGCAGGAGAGAGCAAGGCCAGCTCACCCTGTGAGGGCTTTGCCTTTCTCCTGGCTTATTTAACCAGGTTTATCAGACAGATCAACGTGAGCAGAGGCAAGGGGTTCATCCCTGCAAAGTGTTTGCATATTTTGTGTGAAATTAATCACGACATGCAACGAGCCTTTCTAGTCCCTCCTTTCTGGCCAGAGGTGAAAGGGGAATGGAGGCTGGAGAAGTGCTTTCTGGGGGGAGGGGGAGGGGTCACAATCTAACCCTGAGCTTGCCTTGTTGGGTGCAGCAAGCCTGTGTTTTAAATGTGAGAGATGGGACTAAGCCCTTCCTCCTGCACATATGAAGCCTACCTTTCACCATCACTGAAGTCTGTCCTTACAAAGTTTTCCAGCAATAGAGCAGGTGCAATTCCTTTGTGTGTGTGTGTGTAGATGTATAAATATGTATATATACTTATATACGTGCATACATATATATACACACACAGTAATGATGTGTGCTGAAAAGCATTGGCCTAATATTTCAGAGAAAGATGTATTTTACACTCAGCTGGCATTAGAGCTCCTGAAGAAATGAATGGAGAAGGGTGAAGAGGGACTTGCCTCTGCCTGCTTGGAAAGTCACTTTATTTTCACCTTGCTTTTGGAATGAAGGCTCCTTATGAGACACTATCTGTAGTTTTCTAGCACTGCTCAGGAAGAGCCAGCCTTCTGTGTGACATAATTTACTAGGCTTGCCTGTCAAAGAGTGGCCCAAGAGACAAGAGAGAAGTTCCTTGTCCCACAGTGGTTCCGATAGGTTGCGCACATCCTTCGTATACATCAATGGGGCGAGGAGCACAGTGCCACCCTCGCTTGCATGGGGAAAACTGGTGTTTACAAGAAGCAGATTCTTCCAAAGTCTGCGTCTCGCCTGGATGCATGGCATCATTTTCATACAAGTTCAAGTTCATACAAGTTCCAGAGATATTCTGTTGGGTCTTGTTGTTTGTTTCAGTGCTAAGGATGTATGTATGCTTGACAAATGTTTGGAGGCTGGGCGCTTAAGTGAGTCTTAAGTTTTTTAATGAAATTGAAATTTAGAGTTTTAAAGGTTATGCAAAAGTCCCAACTGCTTGTATTGGTCCCAGAGTTTTCCCTGAACGAGACTCCTATTCTCTGGTCAAATTCCAAGTAGCAAGTTTTCCACATTCTCTCTCTTTCTCTCTCTCTCTCTCTCTCTCTCTCTCTCTCTCTTCTTTCTCGTATTCTATTGCTGATGGTAAAACATGTGCTGTGAGTTTACTGGAGTCAGCTTCACATTGGAAATAGCCATAAGTGCCCATCTGTGAGAGAACTCACCCAGGATGAGGGCCGTAATTAGTCCTTAGTCACCATGCGTAGCTCAGTGGGCATCACGGGTGTGCTAAGGCCCTTAGGAAAAGAGAAGGTACACTTGATTTTTGGTATTATTATTTTAAGAGTTAAAGTTCTTGTTGACTAGGCTGTGAGCTGTATACTAGTAATCATAAATGCCTTTCTTTGTGACCCACAGAAAGGTAGACAAGGAGGCCCTAGCCCACTGCACCCTCTGTGACACTACATACCTCTTCTATCATCATTTGATGGCTGTTTTAGTTTTTTGGGGGGATGTTCAATTGCTATTTTTTAAACTTTTTTTCAGAAAATTGTTGATTCATATGAGTTGAAAAATTCTTGTTGAGAGTCACCATGATACATTTACCTCATTTCTCCTAACATCTTGGAAAATGATGGTATAGAGTCCCAGCCAGGACACCAGTATAGCCAAGGTCTGCAAGCGGCTCTTCCCAGACTGGCTTGCACTGGTCTGCATCTATGTTTTCTCATGTAAAAGCAAGTCATATTTGCTAGTCCAAGGCTCACATGCCAGCCTTGACAAACACCCACCTCCATCAGGACTTGGTGGCAGAAGAGGTTCCAGGGTGGGTGCCTGTCTCTGAACATCGTCAGGTGGCAATTAAAGGGGTGCTGGTGGCATTGTCCTTGTTTAACATTCGGAGCTTGGCTTCAGTGGACACTTTGGTTTCCACAAGGGACTGTGGGCCATGTTTTTCTGCTGGGGGAAGGAGAAGACAAGACTTTGGAGACACCAGGGAAGAGGCACAGAGCAGAGCGATAACCAGTGTATAGCTGCCATCACTTTCACCTATGATAAGAAGGAAGGGGGTGGTATTAGGGAACTGGCATGTCCTGATACTGTGGAATCTCTTGCAAAGAGTGTGGCCTTTGGGATTCTAGGGGCCTGGGCTCAAATCACTGTTTTACTTACCATCTGTGTGACTTTAGAAAGTCACCGAGCCTCTCTGGACCATCTGACCTCTTTGTGATGAGTGAATTCACAACAGCATACCTGTGACTACAATGGGAGACTCGTCCTGGGGACCCCGGTCACTGCTCTGGCTGCTGTTCCCAGACAGCTGAATCTTGTTCTCAGGAGTTCTTCCCCCAGGCTTTCTTTCAGGACATTGTCCTTCGTTTTATTCTCCGAACTAAGCAGTTGAGCTGAGGGGCATTCCCCCAGTTCCCCATATATGGGAACTCATAGTTCTTCTTAGATCAGGGTGACTCTGAGACCACAGACTTAGAAGCACACAGATCCACATGGCACAGGAGCAGGTACCAAGCACTAGAAGCAGGGCAGTAAAGACAGGATGCAGGTGAAAATGGGGCAAGGACTGGCCCCATAACACTCGCTGGCTTTCCCTGGCCTGGGTGAAAGGAGCGCGGCAGGGCCATGCGCTTTGGGGAAGGGACCCGGGTAGCCCAGTCAGGCACCACTGAGACTTAGTAAGAAACTGAAGCAAACCGGTGGCAGTGGCAGTGGCAGTGGCAGTGTAAGAACGCCTTTAATCCCACACTTTTGAGCCCACCACTCGGGAGGCAGAGGCAGGCGGCTCTCTGTGAGTTTGGGGCTAGCCTGGTCTACATAGCTAGTTCCAGGACAACCAGAGTTACACAGAAACCTTTCCACAAAAAAAAAAAAAAAACAAGCAAACAAACAAACAGAAGCATGAGGTTTTCCAGCAGGACTAAAAGTTCCCATCGGCAATCACACCAATGAGTGACTTGCTGTTGAGGCCGAATGAGGCTGCCTTTACCTAAGTGATGAAAATGCTGGTAAATTTTCCCCAGGGACTGCAGGTGATGCTCAGGGATGTGCACTGCGTGCTTCGCATGCGTGAGGCACTGGATTAGATCCCCAGGACTGCAATCAATCAATCAATCAATCAATCTAAATAGACTTTACATAGAGGTCAGGTCAGGGTTAAGGGGCAGAAATTAGTGTTGAGAATGAGTCTTGTCATGTGCCTGGAACTAAACAGGGTGAGCAAAATCAGGTTCTGTACTTAACGCTGCAACAGCTGGAGTTGAAAGTGGGGTTTTCTTCTGCTCGCTCATGTTGATTCTCTGTTCATTTAACTCCCTGGCTGGGGAGAGCAGGGGAATAGCCACGAGGAGGGAGGAATTGGGCAGCATTGGAAATTCAAATCCCAGCCAAATTTTAGTTTGTGATTTTTTTTTTAACATACACTATTATCCTAATGAGGTGGCTGCTGCTGCCGGAGTGTTCAGAGGGCTGTGTCTCACGGATGGTGGTTACATAGGATGTCACTCCGTGAATTATACTCTTGAACACTGAAAGTAGCTTGGCTTAGAGTCCACCACATAGTA